AAGGATAGAAAGATAGCTTTTTGTTATTTGTTTGTTTTGTTTTTTTAGGGGGGAGGATAAAAGGATAGTAAGATAGCTTTTGGTTGTTGTTGGGTTTTTTTGGGGGGGAGGATAAAAGGATAGTAATAAGATAGCTTTTTGTTGTTGTTTTGTTTTTTTAGGGGGGGGGGAGGATAAAAGAATAGTAGTAAGATAGCTTTTGTTGTATATATATTTCGTTATTTTAGGGGGGGGAGGATAAAAGGATAGTAGTAAGATAGCTTTTTGTTGTTCGTTTGTTTTGTTTTTTTAGGGGGGAGGATAAAAGGATAGTAGTAAGATAGCTTTTTGTTGTTTTCCCAAACAAAATGAACAGCTCTGTTTGACCCTATGTTAGTGGAGAAGTAAATGATATCGGCTAGGTCTTTATACTCCTGATTGGTATTCATTTATTTGTCACAAGGTAGCTTTTTGTTACACTCACAGGTTAAATCAAATGAACAGCTGTGTGTGATAACTGTAAGATTTACCTTGAAAGTCTTTCTTACCTTGTTGTGTTGATGTCGTCTTCCAATGAAAGGGGGCCCCCTGTCCTCTAGTCCACGCGGAGATAACTTCACTCACCGAATCACGTCCTATGATCCTATTCGTTTGTCACAAAGTAGCTTTTTAATTTGTTACACTCACAGGATAAATGAACAGTTGTGGCCGGTGATAACTGAAAGATTTACCTTGAAAGTCTTTCTTGTCTTGTCGATGTCGCCTGTCGATGAAAGGGGGCCCCCAATCACCGAAATAACTTCACTCACTGAATCACATCCTATGATCCTATTCATTTGTCACAAAGTAGCTTTTTAATTTGTTACTCTCACAGAATAAATGAACAGCTGTGTGTGATAACTACAATGTTTCCTCTTTTTTTCGGCGCTGGTCACTGGGCAAGTTGAACTGAGTGCCTAGTCCTCTCTTTAAAAAACAAATAGAAAGATACCCATTAATGCTATTGCGTTCTATCTCTTGAGATATTCGTTAGTTGCTCTACACAAGAAAAACAAGTAGTTACTTAGCAGTTAAATAACATTTTGGGGGTTCTAAAAAGCCTATCCTTTCAGTTGGGTGACATTTTGGTAATGACTCATAAGAAAATTTTCAAAGAACGGTTAATTGACACAATAGTTCAAGACCTAGAAACAATTTGGAATGATATGGCAAAATTGATGTTGCAGAATTTACTGACATTTATCCCATTCTGCTTTGGGAAATTTTTTATAGCGTTTTGAGCTCCTCACCAGCTCCCCAACCCCATTAATAATTGAAATGAAGTTTTGTGACACAGTATAAATTATGTTGAAATGATGAACCCACAGGTTAAAGGCCTTGAGCATCAACTTGACACCGCAGTGCTAGAAAATGGGGACAATTTCTCCCTGGGGGAGAGGCAACTCTTCTGTCTAGCCCGAGCCTTGCTCCGCAATTGTAAGGTGAGTGAATATGTGTCAGTGTGTCAATGTGTCAATGTGTCACGATGAGATAGATTCAGGCACTCGTCAACTTTTGGGCATGTGGAGTTATTGATATCGTCTTAAAGCTTATTCCTTTGTCTCATTTTTAATTTTTTTAAATACCTATCTGTCTTAAAAAGAAGTCGAGATATTTGCTTTTGAAGGAGGTAGGCTCGCCTTGTTCCAGAGGTAAATTTAGCTTGTAAGTGGCCACCTACCGGAAAAATGCCGTTTTTTTTCGATTTCATTATTTTGACGAGTGCCTGATTTCACCCCAATATATAGGACATACATGTTTAATCAGTGCATCAAAGAGAAGATCACTACCACATTAGCTATTAAAGACTGTCTTTGGTAAAGAACTGCTCCTTTGATTTATATTACAATTAATTTATCCCTTACCTTTAGTGTGGGCTTAAGAGAAACACATCAATGTAAACCCAAAGAAAATGTCTGCCAGGAAAACTGAGATAATGAAACAACTGGAAAGATGAAGAACCGGCCCATTGCATCATCCAAACTTCCACTTCTACCTCCTTTTCCCTTTTTTTCTCTTTGCAGATTCTAGTATTAGATGAAGCGACAGCGGCCGTCGACTCGGAGACTGACTCTCTCATCCAAACGACGCTAAGAGAGTCGTTCTCTCAGTGCACCATGCTTATTATTGCGCACAGACTCAACACCGTCTTAAGCTGTGATAAAATTGTAGTCATGGACAATGGGAAGGTAAGCCACTGTTGTTCTGCTCATTTGAATCTTCAATCTGTGTTGAAATTTTTAATCTGTAGGATAGGATATACATGTGAAACAACTTATTTCGAAAGGAAGTTATTCACAAAGTTGCATTATTTCACAAGCTTTTAATTTTTTTTTTTTTGTTTTGAGAAAATTAAAGAAAAAGACGGCTCTCAATTGAAAAACATTATGCGGCACTTGCTTTTTTGTTGAATCAAAAACTAGGGAACAAATAATGAAACAATGAAACTTATTATTGTAAGATGCCTTTCTTGATGTCTTTATTGGAATAACAACTCTGTCTGAAAGCATACAAAAATTGATTTATTGGGCGATGAAGTATTAACACTGATGATAATCCGTTTATATTGCTGTGCTAGTGATGTTACTTGCTATAAATGCAATTATTATTATTAGACTTTTTTTGTGGGTGGTTGGCGGGTGCTCTGGTGTGGTTTGCTTCTTCTTTCCTATCAAACATCTATCGTCCTTATCTGTCCCTTCGTTTTTATGTTTGTTACTCTCTTGTAACACCTCTTATCTTCTGGTGCTCATATGACCTAATGCAGTTGCGAGCGCAGTAAAACACTTACCAAAAAAAAATATAACCAAAAAAAAGACTTTCTTTACAGTAAATGACGGTATTCCGTTAATGACCTTATTTTGTTTTTGTCCAGGTGCAGGAGTCTGGCAGTCCATCAGACCTGTTGTCCAATGCTAGCTCCCAGTTTCGGACCATGCTCCAGGCCTCCGAAGTCCCCTTCAAGGCACCATGACTAAGCTCTGCTAGCAGCTCTAGTTTCTGTGGCGGTTATGACCAGCCCGGAGTCTCATCTTGGTTCCCACCAGATCTGAAAAATCCGTAATGGATGGACAGTGGTCAGGTTGTTCTTCCTCACTGCTTCGTTCGTTCCCACGACCAGGATACAAAGCGTATCTGATCAGCATCACCAATATATATGGGTTGTCTTGTTTAGCTGTGGCGGAGCAGTGCGTCGATATTTGCTCTATTATCACCAGTGAGGAGTTGAGGGTGATTGAACAAGCTTGTGGGTAGTTTTGATCTTTTTGACAATTGACTGATTGGCAAATTTCGCACAGGCTTAATGTGTCGGTTGACAAATTTGGCACCTGTGGCACTAATGTCGTTTTGCCAAGTGGAAAATGTGGAAGCAAAAAGGGCATGCCCTTTGTGTTTGGGAGCACTCCATGTTGGGAAAAAGTTACTGCATCCAGGTTGTATGCTACCAAAGGCATCATGGGCTGCCCATAACTTGATCAATACATTGGTCACATCATGGAATGCAAATGCTTGAACCAGGAAAACGGTGTGAAAAAATGTTTGAATATTCAAATAATTGAGAAATAATGGAGCAGATTTGTTACTAAAAATATTTGAAATTATGGTGCTTAATTATTTCAGTTACATCCTGACATCCTTAAAGGTCTCCCATTTATTTGTGCTGCAGTATTGTATATCTCCCCCCCCCCCCCCCCCCCCCTCTCCTCAGAGATAAAGATTTAACATGTGGTTTTTTTCTATCCACAGTTGATGTTCGTCTTCCAATGAACGTTGAGATTTTCCTCAACAATGTTCTTCAAGTCATCGCAGCACTGTGCATGATCGCTTTTGTGGCTCCGTGGTTTTTGCTTGCTGCTGTGCCCCTGGGCGCGTTGTTTTTCTTCCTCATGTCAATGTTCCACACGTGTGTGCGGGAACTCAAGGGCCTGGACAATGTGACGCGCTCCCCTGTCCTCAGCCACGCGGCTACCTCCGTGCAGGGTATGTCAACCATACAGACCTACCGCCGCACTGTACATTTCGAGAAGTGGTGAGTGAAATTTACTGTAGGCCCTACTGTTTTAATTTCTTTTGTTTGTGTGGGTTTTATCTTTGAAATAAGATAAGATGAGATAGCATAATACTTTATTGTTCCAGTGAGAAATTTTTATTAACTGTACGGGAATGGTTAAAAATGCATCTTGTAGAAAGGCCAACGCATAGAATTTTAATGATATATTTCTCCCCTAAAATTTGTTGGTATATATGTAACAGTATCGTGTTTGTACCCTAATGTGTTGGCTCTGATTTTTTATTAGCCTACAGAAACAGAAAGAAGTAAATCAGTGAGGCAGAATAATCAATTCCTGTCAAAAATTGAAGCCACTCAAATCTGTATAAATATTAAGAGCGCCTTCAATTAACAGCACATGGCTGCCTTTCAGGCAAGGGATTGCTCTTGATTCTATGTAGATGCAGCAGCATTGGGTGATGAAGATCTTATAGTCAGTGACTACCCAAACTCTTCTTACTTGCACCAACAGCTTAACTCGAATTTACTATAGAGACAATTTGTTGGGGTTTTTTAACCCTATCTGTACGTCGTGTTTTACTATCGTATCCATACGACGTGGGGAACTCTGTGCCACCACTTTCCAAAGAGGAAATGTAATCGTTAATCCGATCCGTACGCTTTGCATAGCAGTCTGTCAAAATGATTTTATGAGAAATACTGTAAGTTTCAGAGATCTTCGTACTAGAAGTATTCTAAAATGTGAAGAATACAACCCTGGGGGTACAAAATGACACAAGGGCGTACGGATAGGGTTAAACCTGGAAAGCTCTTTCACAAGAAGACGAAGAAGAGTTAAGCTATTTCTTTCTTTTTAAGTAAAATGGTTTTCAAATTCTTTTTTTTTTACCCGCAGTCACCGTGACCTCCTCAACACAAACTGTGTGGCTGTTTTCTTGTTCTACTCGGCCAATCGGTGGCTGGCCATTCGTCTGGACATCGTGTCGGCCGCTGTGGCCTTTGCTACGGGTCTTCTAGTTCTGCTGACCTTTGACCAGCTGAACCCTGCCCTGGCCGGTCTGGCTCTCTCCTACAGTGTTCAGGTAAGTGGCGTCAGTGGCCTAGTGGTTAGGCTCTCGGACTCGCAACCGTTAGGTCGTGGGTTTGAATCCCGTCAGGGGCCCGATGTTGTGTCCTTGGGAAAGGACTTTGGCGTTAGGTTGTGGGTTTGAATCCCGTCAGGGGCCCGATGTTGTGTCCTTGGGAAAGGCACTTTGCACAAATTTTCCTCACTTCACCCAGGTGGGAATGGGTACCCGGCTATAGACAGTGAACGATCTTGTCAGTTTGATAGTGTTTGAGAGCGTGAAATCCGCAGCTTGCACTGTATGCTTTCGCGGAAGCCAAATATGTTTCTGAGTGTTCTCAGAGGGTCTGCTGGGGTAATAATCGGTGTAAAGCGCACAGAGCATGCTGTTGAGCGTGGATATGCGCTATATAAATGCAATTATTATTATTATTAAGTGTTTTGTCAATAGCATGGTCAAGTGTTTATTTGCCACTCCTACAATGTTCGGGTATGCTTTTTGTCAATAGCACAGCGAAGTGTTTATTTGCCAATAGAAGTGATCAAAAATTTGGTCTACTTCTCCCCCCCCCCCAACCACCACCACCACCTCTCTCCTCTTTATTATTTCCTAGTATGCGTGAAATAACGTGTTCATCAGGATACATTTTTTTTAAGTGCCCAGAATATGATCTTGACTTGAAGTAATGTGTAGTTTGGAGAAAAGGTTGGGTTTTTTTTTGTTTGTTGGGGTTTTTTAGAACTCCTTATCTCCAGCAAGCCGCTCACACACATACACATACACACACACACACAGACACACACATGCACACACACTCACACACGCACACTCACACACATACAAACACAGACTCTACATCTTTTTCTGAAGGGCAATGACTTCGGTGTCTGAGAATCATCCAGGCTATTTTCAGTTCATGGAAAACATTATTTTTTTACTTTCACTGTTTGCATAAATTTTAACTCTTTAACCATGCAATTTAAAATCACATTTCCGAGTAATTCTCACGTGTTTGTGGAAATGCGACCCGAGGAATTACGTTTTTAAAAAGGCTTGTTTCGTGTCAAACTGATCAATAAAGCATTACCCAGATGTAGAATTCATTTATCTTTGACTTCCGGGTCAAACTAAAGACTTGTAAACTGTTTGTGGGTTTGTGGTGGTGTTGCCACAGCCACTCCCTCGTACATTGGAAATCACCAGAGAATACTGTGGGACCAGGAAACAGCTGATGTCATGAAATGTTTTTGCTTTGTGTGTTTTCAGATGTCTGGGCTGTTCCAGTTCACGGCTCGTCTGGCTGTGGAAACAGAAGCGAGGTTTACGTCTGTACAGAGAATTCTCAAGTATTGTAATGTGAGTATTGCTGTTGTCGTTTTTGATGATGATGATGATGATGATGATGATGATGATGATGATGATCTTGCGGGGGCTCTCATGGTATAAAAATTCGGTGTTCACCTCTCATTCAACAGGTCCCAGGTTTGAAACCTGACTGTGACGGAATAGGTTCTTCTCAAAAATGTTTCCTTTCACATCCCTTCCTGTTCTCTAACCATGTTATCTGTCATCTGCTTTTGTCTCCACTTTCTGCCATTCCCCTTCACCTCCTTTGCCCCCTCCTCTGGGCTTCTGACTGTAGCCTTTTTACTGCTACTCCTTGGCTCCTTCTTACTACTGTCTTTCAGCCACACCCCTGGTCTTAGGGTAGATAAAATCTAATACATAACCTTCTTGGATAAGAGTGAAAAATATCTTTGAGGTCCCTTGTGCAAGTTGCACAGGTTATAGATACCCCGGTGGTCCTGAAATCGATAAAAGTTGGCTTTGGCCGCCACCCAGGCAAACTTTAAACTTAATTCCTACCAAACTGAGAATGATTAATGTGTCCTGCGCGTCCATATGACTTTATTCAGTTGCAAGCACCGTAAAACACTTGCCAAAAAAAAAGATCTAGCAGCCACAGTGCTATGATGTAAACTATCGTCTTTTTCTAAAACTATTTTTATGAATTTCAATGTTTTATGACTGAATTCTGAAGCCTTCTCAATATTTAGAGACAGCTATAGACAGTGAAAAGATCTCGTCAGTTTGTTAGTGTTTGAGCGCTTAACCAGCTGCTTGCATTGTATGCTCCCTGGAAGCTGAGAATGTTTCGGAGTGTTCTTTGGCGTGCTGGGGTTATAATACAGTGTAAAGCGCATAGAGTTTGCTTTCGAGTGGGGACATGCGCTATACAAATGCTTTTTTTTTTTTTTTATGTTTAGCATAAGAAGTCAATGCATACACACATTGTATAATTGTCTCAGATGAGTTGCATTTGTATCATGTTTAGTTCAAACTTCTAGGGGGAAAAAATCCAGAAGCTCTGATAATTGTACACACTGACGATATACCTAACATAATCAGTGAGAAATGCATCACCTGGAGGAGTCGCCATCACGTTTATCTCTGTCTCTGTGGCCCACAGATAACGCAAGAAGAGCCATCTTTAGCTGTCGTCAGTGGTCAGTCTTTGACCTCCTGGCCCAAGTCCGGTGGGATCGTCTTCGACGGCGTGCAGTTACGCTATCGCAGTGATCTGCCCCTGGCTCTGCAAAACGTGTCTTTCAAAGTAGAGGCCCAAGAGAAGGTGGGCATTGTGGGCAGGTCTGGTGCAGGTAAGCGAATGTTACTTCTGAAGTTATGTTATAATAATAATAAAAATAATAATAATAAATGAATTTATAACGCTCCAGAATCCACAAAAAGTGCTCGGTGGCGCTTACAAAACACACACACACACACCCGCAAAAGCTCTAAAGCTCAGTACCACTACGACATGCATATATTTTTAAAAATAAATAAAAAGAATAAAACTGACAGATATTTCAGATATAGAGTTCCTGCCTTATAAGTATACTTTCCTGAAAAACATTGTCTTCAACTTTGATTTAAATTGATCAGTTGAAAGAGACATTTTAACATCTAAATCCAAATTGTTCCAAGTTTTGGTGCACAGATTGAAAAAATAGTATATAAAAACAGTTAAACCTGTGGAAGATGACACCATCCCCCCACCCCCCACCCCCCACCCCTTCCTATCGTCTTTGATGGGTAGGCCTCTTAGACAGTATCAGGGGGCTCTCATGGTCTAGAGCTTATAGTGTTTGCCTCTCATTCAATAGGTCCTGGGTTCAAATCCTGAAAGCGCTGGAAAATTTTCCCCTATAAAAAACATTTTCTCCTCTCACCTCCTTTCCTGCTCTTTAATATGATTTGTCATCTTCTTTCGTCTTTACTTTCTGCCCCCCCCCCCTCTCCCTTGCCCAATCCTCTGGGCTACTGACTCTTTTTGCTGTCTTTCTACTGCTACTCTTGGATCCATCTTACTGCTGTTTTTCAGCCGCACCCCTGATCTTGTAAGATAACACCTTCCCTTCTTGGAAAAGAGAGAAAAAATCTTGGACATCCTGTGTGCATGTTGCGCACGTTAAACATCCCTTGGTAGTCCTAGAATACAGATGGTAGCAAGGCCACTGTCCTTAAAAGTCAAATATTAAAGTCGCTTTGAACAGGTGAATTCTATCACAGTCTTTGATTTTGGCAGGAGGAATAAACAAATTTGGAAAAGAACACTTTTTATTTCTCAAAGAAGATATTTATAATTATCCTTTGACTAAGAAAAACCAAACAAACTAATTAAAACAAATGCACCTCATCTTCATAACCTATCCAAAGAAAACCTCAGAAAGAAAGAGGATAATTATCTTCTTTAATTAATAAATCCAAAACAGCAAAAGGTACTTGGTCTTTATGAATCAAATGTGAGGTGTGCTGACTAAAAGAGTTACTTCCCGGATTCAAGCCTTACGGAAATAGATACTTCACACTTATTGTAGGTGGAGTTTTTACAATTTATAAGTAGGAAATATCAAGAGGCTTGTTATACATAAGGAATAGGGCATCTATAGAAAGTCTTATTTGATCTTAGAGAGTTGATTTTTGGCCAAATATCTCCCTTTGTGGATTGCGAGAAGTAACTCATTTTGCCAGCACGTTTCACAAATAACTTTGTCCGCAGGAAAAACGTCCCTGAGTGCTGCCCTCTTCCGCCTTGTGGAGCTGGATGGTGGCCGTATCTTCGTAGATAATGTAGATATTTCTACTGTCAATCTGAAGGAGCTCAGATCGAATCTCTCTGTCATTCCACAAGACCCAGTATTATTTTCTGGTACCATCAGGTAACAAATTGTGAAGCAGCATATAGTGAAATCAGGTGCTGGTCAAAATAACGAAATTGGTGAAATGGGCATTTTGAACTGTCAGTTTTGAAATTTTTATTGAATTTTTTCTTTTTTGGCTTAACTTCTTTTATGTCCATGCAATAACACATTTCCTTGTGAATTTTACTGAAAAACATTGATTAAAGACACAAAATATGTCATTTTCCAGTTTTGAAAGACTCTCTAGCCATTGGGGTTACCAGACTTTGACGGCCATTTTCTCACTAATTTCAACACTGATACCAGGCGACCTCATTTCCTTCAATCGCATATATCTTGAGTTCTATTCAAGATAAAGATATTTATTTCATTGGAAGCAAGGCAAATAAATCTGTTTTCACAGATGATACCAATAATTCATATGCCCAAAAATTGACAAGCGCCGGATTCCACCCTTGACACAATTGTTTTATATTATCTTTTGTTATTAATTTGTAAAATAGTAATGTTGTCAAATGGTTTTAGAGGTTTGCTTCCTAGAGACCTTTGTAAGAGTGTGTGTGTGTGTGTGTGTGTGTGTGTGTGTGTGTGTGTGTGTGTGTGTGTGTGTGTGTGTGTGTGTGTGTGTGTGTGTGTGTGTGTGTGTGTGTGTGTGTGTGTGTGTGTGTGCACCCATGCGCATGACAGCGCGAGTGTCAGTGTGTGTGTGCATGCGTGCATGTGTGTGTGTGTGTATACGTGTGCGTGCGTGCGAATGTGTGTGGGAAGGGGGGGGAGGGTTGGAAATGGAAAGTGGGTGGGATGGATAAAGTTTGAGCACGATTAAGTTGGACATCTACGAGATAAGCAATACCGCTAGGAGTTAAATTAAATACAAAATGCCAGAAAATGTGTGTTGATATTTCGTAGATGTCCAACTTGGCTTTTCTCTGTCTCAGGTACAACCTTGACCCGTTCCAGCAGCGTTCCGACGCCGACATCTGGCAGGCTTTGGGCAAGTGTCATATGGCTCTCATGGTAAGATCTGTCTTTACTTTTGTGTGTGAGAACGCCTCCATCAGCTAACGCCGCCCCCAGTTTCTTTGACTCAATGTGTGTGTTTTGTTTTTGGGGGGGGGTTGTTGTTGTTTTTTGTTGGGGGTTTTGTTGTTTTTTTGGTAGTTTTTTTTTTTGGGGGGGGGGGGGATGAAATGATAGGCTAGTAAGATAGCTTTGTTTTTTTTGGGGGGGAGAGGATAAAAGGATAGAAAGATAGCTTTTTGTTATTTGTTTGTTTTGTTTTTTTAGGGGGGAGGATAAAAGGATAGTAAGATAGCTTTTGGTTGTTGTTGGGTTTTTTTGGGGGGGAGGATAAAAGGATAGTAATAAGATAGCTTTTTGTTGTTGTTTTGTTTTTTTAGGGGGGGGGGAGGATAAAAGAATAGTAGTAAGATAGCTTTTGTTGTTTGTTTGTTTTGTTATTTTAGGGGGGGGAGGATAAAAGGATAGTAGTAAGATAGCTTTTTGTTGTTCGTTTGTTTTGTTTTTTTAGGGGGGAGGATAAAAGGATAGTAGTAAGATAGCTTTTTGTTGTTTTCCCAAACAAAATGAACAGCTCTGTTTGACCCTATGTTAGTGGAGAAGTAAATGATATCGGCTAGGTCTTTATACTCCTGATTGGTATTCATTTATTTGTCACAAGGTAGCTTTTTGTTACACTCACAGGTTAAATCAAATGAACAGCTGTGTGTGATAACTGTAAGATTTACCTTGAAAGTCTTTCTTACCTTGTTGTGTTGATGTCGCCTGTCAATGAAAGGGGGCCCCCAGTCCTCTAGTCCACGCGGAGATAACTTCACTCACCGAATCACGTCCTATGATCCTATTCGTTTGTCACAAAGTAGCTTTTTAATTTGTTACACTCACAGGATAAATGAACAGTTGTGGCCGGTGATAACTGAAAGATTTACCTTGAAAGTCTTTCTTGTCTTGTCGATGTCGCCTGTCGATGAAAGGGGGCCCCCAATCACCGAAATAACTTCACTCACTGAATCACATCCTATGATCCTATTCATTTGTCACAAAGTAGCTTTTTAATTTGTTACTCTCACAGAATAAATGAACAGCTGTGTGTGATAACTACAATGTTTCCTCTTTTTTTCGGCGCTGGTCACTGGGCAAGTTGAACTGAGTGCCTAGTCCTCTCTTTAAAAAACAAATAGAAAGATACCCATTAATGCTATTGCGTTCTATCTCTTGAGATATTCGTTAGTTGCTCTACACAAGAAAAACAAGTAGTTACTTAGCAGTTAAATAACATTTTGGGGGTTCTAAAAAGCCTATCCTTTCAGTTGGGTGACATTTTGGTAATGACTCATAAGAAAATTTTCAAAGAACGGTTAATTGACACAATAGTTCAAGACCTAGAAACAATTTGGAATGATATGGCAAAATTGATGTTGCAGAATTTACTGACATTTATCCCATTCTGCTTTGGGAAATTTTTTATAGCGTTTTGAGCTCCTCACCAGCTCCCCAACCCCATTAATAATTGAAATGAAGTTTTGTGACACAGTATAAATTATGTTGAAATGATGAACCCACAGGTTAAAGGCCTTGAGCATCAACTTGACACCGCAGTGCTAGAAAATGGGGACAATTTCTCCCTGGGGGAGAGGCAACTCTTCTGTCTAGCCCGAGCCTTGCTCCGCAATTGTAAGGTGAGTGAATATGTGTCAGTGTGTCAATGTGTCAATGTGTCACGATGAGATAGATTCAGGCACTCGTCAACTTTTGGGCATGTGGAGTTATTGATATCGTCTTAAAGCTTATTCCTTTGTCTCATTTTTAATTTTTTTAAATACCTATCTGTCTTAAAAAGAAGTCGAGATATTTGCTTTTGAAGGAGGTAGGCTCGCCTTGTTCCAGAGGTAAAATTAGCTTGGAAGTGGCCACCTACCGGAAAAATGCCGTTTTTTTTCGATTTCATTATTTTGACGAGTGCCTGATTTCACCCCAATATATAGGACATACATGTTTAATCAGTGCATCAAAGAGAAGATCACTACCACATTAGCTATTAAAGACTGTCTTTGGTAAAGAACTGCTCCTTTGATTTATATTACAATTAATTTATCCCTTACCTTTAGTGTGGGCTTAAGAGAAACACATCAATGTAAACCCAAAGAAAATGTCTGCCAGGAAAACTGAGATAATGAAACAACTGGAAAGATGAAGAACCGGCCCATTGCATCATCCAAACTTCCACTTCTACCTCCTTTTCCCTTTTTTTCTCTTTGCAGATTCTAGTATTAGATGAAGCGACAGCGGCCGTCGACTCGGAGACTGACTCTCTCATCCAAACGACGCTAAGAGAGTCGTTCTCTCAGTGCACCATGCTTATTATTGCGCACAGACTCAACACCGTCTTAAGCTGTGATAAAATTGTAGTCATGGACAATGGGAAGGTAAGCCACTGTTGTTCTGCTCATTTGAATCTTCAATCTGTGTTGAAATTTTTAATCTGTAGGATAGGATATACATGTGAAACAACTTATTTCGAAAGGAAGTTATTCACAAAGTTGCATTATTTCACAAGCTTTTAATTTTTTTTTTTTTGTTTTGAGAAAATTAAAGAAAAAGACGGCTCTCAATTGAAAAACATTATGCGGCACTTGCTTTTTTGTTGAATCAAAAACTAGGGAACAAATAATGAAACAATGAAACTTATTATTGTAAGATGCCTTTCTTGATGTCTTTATTGGAATAACAACTCTGTCTGAAAGCATACAAAAATTGATTTATTGGGCGATGAAGTATTAACACTGATGATAATCCGTTTATATTGCTGTGCTAGTGATGTTACTTGCTAGAAATGAAATGGTTATTTTTAGACTTTTTTTGTGGGTGGTTGGCGGGTGCTCTGGTGTGGTTTGCTTCTTCTTTCCTATCAAACATCTATCGTCCTTATCTCTCCTCCTTTTTTTTTATGTTTGTTACTCTCTTGTAACACCTCTTATCTTCTGGTGCTCATATGACCTTATGCAGTTGCAAGCGCTGTAAAACCTCTACTAAAACAAAATATAACCAAAAAAAAGACTTTCTTTACAGTAAATGACGGTATTCCGTTAATGACCTTATTTTGTTTTTGTCCAGGTGCAGGAGTCTGGCAGTCCATCAGACCTGTTGTCCAATGCTAGCTCCCAGTTTCGGACCATGCTCCAGGCCTCCGAAGTCCCCTTCAAGGCACCATGACTAAGCTCTGCTAGCAGCTCTAGTTTCTGTGGCGGTTATGACCAGCCCGGAGTCTCATCTTGGTTCCCACCAGATCTGAAAAATCCGTAATGGATGGACAGTGGTCAGGTTGTTCTTCCTCACTGCTTCGTTCGTTCCCACGACCAGGATACAAAGCGTATCTGATCAGCATCACCAATATATATGGGTTGTCTTGTTTAGCTGTGGCGGAGCAGTGCGTCGATATTTGCTCTATTATCACCAGTGAGGAGTTGAGGGTGATTGAACAAGCTTGTGGGTAGTTTTGATCTTTTTGACAATTGACTGATTGGCAAATTTCGCACAGGCTTAATGTGTCGGTTGACAAATTTGGCACCTGTGGCACTAATGTCGTTTTGCCAAGTGGAAAATGTGGAAGCAAAAAGGGCATGCCCTTTGTGTTTGGGAGCACTCCATGTTGGGAAAAAGTTACTGCATCCAGGTTGTATGCTACCAAAGGCATCATGGGCTGCCCATAACTTGATCAATACATTGGTCACATCATGGAATGCAAATGCTTGAACCAGGAAAAGGGTGTGAAATAATGTTTGAATATTCAAATAATTGAGAAATAATGGAGCAGATTTGTTACTAAATATAGTTGAAGTTATGGTGCTTAATTATTTCAGTTACATCCTGACATCCTTAAAGGTCTCCCATTTATTTGTGCTGCAGTATTGTATATCTCCCCCCCCCCCCCCCCCCCCCAGCCTGTGGATAATGATGTTGATTAGTAAAGTAGTAAAGAATCAAAGGACTATTTCTTATTGTGAGAGCTTTTGTTGGAGCAGAGATACCGAAGCACAGTATTAACTACCAGACTGGAGAGTAAAGACTCTACAGTTTATTAAGTTCCTGGGTGAAATTTGTAACTGACATTAAAACTGGGTTTCCCAGGTGGTGCTGCTGTAAAAATGAGAAAGAATTTTGCATTTGTTGTTGCTTGTGTCTTATGATGTACCTTGCCTTTACAATTTGGCATCTAGTCTGGATAATGTATACCAGGATAATATGTTGATAATCAGGGATCAGATTCAGTGACAGTATGCAATAAAGATCACTAGAAGGATTTAACTGTCGTATTCATATGTTGTCAACACAGTGTATCTTATGTTCTGTCCTAGGGAAGTGTATTTGTGTGCATTACCCCCTATTGTGATGTTGGAAAAGCTTTATTCTAAGATTTTTTTTTCATTTCCCAGTGTTCAATCAAAGATTTAATATTCTAACTTAAGTCAATGCTGCTAAATGAAACCATTCTATACAGGATGAGAGATCTGGGTCTCTTCACACACACACTCACACACACACACTCACACACACACACACACACACACACTCACACTCACACGCGCGCGCGCGCGCACACACACACACACTCACCCACACACACACACTCACGCACACACAGTCAGTTTTATTTATAAACTCAATAATGTGTCTCTGAATCACAAGAAATATCCCATTTTTTTCCACCTCCTTTTTCTTCCCTTATTTCTCCTTCTCCAACTCTTTGTACTCTTTCAATGTGATGGTAGTTTCAAGAATGGTAGTTTGGCTCAGGTGGCATGCCAAGCATAATGTTCCATTAACCCTATCCGTACGTCTTGTTTTACTATGGTATCCCTACGTCGTGGGGAACTCTGTGCCACCCCTTTCCAAAGAGGAAATTTACTCATTAATCCGATCCGTATGTTTTGCATAGCAGTCTGTCAAAATTATTTTTTTGAAAAATCTGGAAAGTTTCAAAGAGATCTTCGTACTAGAAGTATTCTAAAATGTGAAGAATACAACACCGGGGGTACAAAATCACCCCAGGGTGTACGGATAGGGTTAACATAGATTTAATGGCCCATAGATTACAAACAAATGATTTGGAAACTGGAGAACCAGGCCTAGTGGCTGGAGAAAATTCAACAGATTTGATACCTCAAAATGGCTTTCTACATCTAAGCATGCTGATGTTCAGGTATTTTCTATCATAGGACCAAAGGTGTGGTGTGTGGTGACTATCTTGCTACCCTGCAATGTATTAGAGGGGTGAGGGCAAGACATTCTACTTAAATTCATGATATATGCACACACAAAGACACACACACACACACACATACACACGCACACACACACACACACACACACACATGCACACACACACATACACACATGCACATGCATGCACACACATGCACACATTCAGGGTATATAAAAAGGCTGTGCATCATCCTGAAAACCTTCTTCAAACATAGAAATTGATGAATTGAAGGACGCAATAACAAAAGAGTGCCAAAAGATTACCTCGAAAACAGATTGTACTCAAGAGTGGAAAAGGACTTTTTTTTTTTAAAGAGAGTCGCGTTGATGTATATTATGCTGCTGAGGGGACTCAATTCAAGCTTTTATAATTGTCTAATCTCAATAAAACTAGATTTATTTATGAAAACCAAGATGGTGTTTGACTTTTGGGACACCATCATATACTCACACACACACACACACACACACACACATACACACACACATTCACACAAACACATGCTATATTGTGTAGAATTATGAATCTTGGAAATGTAACGTTGAAATTGTTATTTCAAATAACAAATAATAAATAACAAAGTACTATCTTATCTTATCTTATCTTATTAGTGATGTAGCCTATAGGATTGTTGTTTTTTCTCTTCCTCTTCCGTCACCAGGTGGCTATATATAACATAGTAACAGAAGAAAGAAATCTTTGGAAAGTAAATTCAGTAATTGTGCAAAGTTTCACATTTTTTAGTTCTTCTTTTTTAAATTAGTGCTCCTTCACTTACAAACTTCTTCTTATTCTTCTTCATCCCTGTACAAAATAGATTATGTGTGATGTATATCTCTCCAAAGGATCACATTCTGTTGAACTGTGCTGTATAGAAATGTTTTAAAACAGTTGTATAGAGATGTTTTAAAACAGTTGTATAGAGATGTTTTAAAACAGTTGTATAGAGATGTTTTAAAACAGTTGTCTAGAAATGTTTTAAAACAGTTGTATAGAGATGTTTTAAAACAGTTGTCTAGAAATGTTTTAAAACAGTTGTATAGAGATGTTTTAAAACAGTTGTCTAGAAATGTTTTTAAACAGTTGAATTGCTCTGTATTTCATAACACTTAATTTATAAATGTTGTCCAATTTTTTATCCCTCTTCTTTCACATGTTAATTAGATGTAAGAGAAGATTTCAACACCTATTGTTCCTTTCTCTGTTTCTGCCTCAAGTCTCTTATCGGATCTTATAACCTTTTTTTTCTATCTCATTCAGTGCTATAAGGACAAGAATTCTTGAAAGAATTTGAAGATCAAAATGTATTTTCGCATTTTTTTAAAAGAAAAATAATTATATTTTAGTCTAAACCAGGTAAATTTAATGAAATTTTATTTATTATCGGAAAGATCAAGGATACTTAATTCATTCCCTAGTCTTTTAGCCCACGATCTTTGATTGATTTTTAAAGATGTACATTAATTTTTGTGAGTAAAATATAATTCAAAAGTCCTTTGAATACAGAATAGTGGAACTTTCAAGAGATATTTAGATGATGAAGTTATGGGTAATAGGCACTATCTAATTATCTTTGTTCCTGGCTTGGAAGTAAACTATAGTGATACTGATATACTCGTAGTAAGTTTTGGCGAAGAAAATGACAGCGAGCAAGACACCATGAAAATTAGGTCTTACTATTCGCCCATGGTGACAAGGAGAGCCTGTAGTATCCTCCTCCTTTTGATCTCCCGTTTTGTCAGTGATGAAGGCATTTATACGGACCTGACCAATATGAACAGTGAGTTAGGTTCATTTTGTAAGACAATTTATAGCTTTGAGGTAAAAAAAAAAAACCAAAAGAATGGCAAATATATGTATGCTTCCCGGGAAGCAAGCAGAGAAGGTTTCTGAGTGTTTTATGGTCTACCGATAATTGTAAAGCGCTTTGAACATGTTTTTTTTTTTAGCTTTAGTAGAGGTTTTACGGCGCTCGCAACTGCATAAGGTCATATGAGCGCCAGAAGATTAGAGATGTTACAAGAGAGTAACGAACATAAAAAAGAAGAAGGGGAGGTAAGGACGATAGATGTTTGATAGGAAAGAAGAAGCAAACCACACCAGAGCACCCTTTGAGCATGGTGTAGAGAGTAGATATGATGTGCTATATAAATGCAATTGTGTCACGACACGGTGGAATCGGCGCTTGTCAATTTTTGAACATGTGGAGTTACTGGTATCATTTTAAAGCTTGTTCATATGTCTTGCTTTCAGTGAAAAAAATGCTCATTTATCATGAATAGAAGTCGAGATATTTGTCATTGAAGGAGGTAGGAATCTTCTGGTTTCAGAGATAAAATAAGCGAAAAAATGGCTGCCAAAGTTTGGCGACTTCCAAAGTCAGAGAGTCCATGGAAACTGCAAATAAATTTTCATTTGTGTGCCTTAAATCAACATTTTTCAGTAAAATCCACACAGAAATATGTTTCTAAATAGACCTTAAATGTGTTGAATCAGCAAACAAAAATTCGATAAAAATTGCCAAACAGATAGAAAAATGCCGGTTTCTTCAATTTCATCATTTTGACAAGCGCCTGATTTCACCACAGTGTTTAAAAAGTTTCGTTTTTTTTTTTATTTCAGGAGTCTGCAAAAATTGAATTCTGCAGGACTGCAAAATTTTCTTTGGTTTATCCTGCTTTTTTTCTATAAATTCTGTCCCCATAGTTTTATGCATCCCGCATAATTAGCAAAATTTGATCATTTTTCGCATAATTTCTGATTATTTTCCTTTATCCTTCTTTTTTAAAATTAAGAGAATCGCATAATTTCACGTTTTTGGGCTCAGTTTGCATAATTTCAGAATTTTTCTTGCATAAAAGGACGGGGACAGTTAAAGGGATTGTTTGATTAGAAGCAAAAATAAAACAGCCTGGGTTTGATTTTATTTTAGCTTACTGATGTTTTCGTATTTAATTGTTTGAAGTTTAAGTGTAGGCCTACTCCATATGGTATTTCTCTCAGTTGAGCCCCTCTCTGTCGAACCATTAAAAAAGTGCCTGGTTTGGATGGGGAATATATAAAGTGCTTTTGCCCTCGGCACTGGATGAGTTAAAAGATAAAAGGCTGCAACGACATCCTTCCTTGATATGCCGTGATGTCTTTGTGTCTCTTAAGCCTGTCTGTTCCTTTTTGCCTTCTTTGCTTTGTTTTGATCTTTTCCAGTCATTTTGAAGGCCTACTGATTCTTGTGTGTATTTACCTCATTCCAAAGTCAAGGAAAAGATTTTTAAGTGACATTTAAAAAAAAAAATAAAAAAAAAAATAAAAAAAAAAACATGAAAAACAAAAAGCGAAAATACAAAGTAAGATTTTGATAATTAACATGCTATAATATTATTTTACACGTTGCTTCCCTGATTGTTGAGTATATTATTAAATGAGCTCCAGGCCGTGAAATGTACAATTTCCAACTGTTCATGAGTATTTCACGCTCAAAAGGCATATCTAGTCTT